AGGGGGGAGGGTCAGAGGGAGAAGCAGACTCCCTGCTGAGCAGGGAGCCCGATGTGGGACTCGATCCCGGGACTCCAGGATCATGACCTGGGCTGACGGCAGCCGCCCAACCAACTGAGCCACCCAGGCGCCCGTATTCCAGAATTCTAATTTAAGAATATATAGCTTCTCCCAAAGTACAGTTTGAGGCACTGGCCATCATAAGAGTAGATTTTCTCAGCAGCATCTTCTGTGTCTCCTTTGAAAATCTTTTGCAGATAATGGAAGTTTTCAAGAAAGTCGTCTGCTACCTTACGTGAATAGATTACCACCAAGAGGGCCAGAGAGTATTGGTTCTTCTTTCATCAGTTTAATCCCAATACATTGTTTTTCTGGGTTAATATCATTGAGAATTGATGGAGGATTGCCTCTTCTATTATCACAGTAGCTTTACCTCCACTAGAATCTGTTTTTGTTGCTTTTAAGCAGAAGAAGATTTCTAAACGAACAAAAAAAGCTGAGCTGAAGGACTAAAAATACTTGAAATGGTAACGAACTCTATAAGAAATCACTCCTTGGAGAATGAAAGGAACCATTCTGATGAAGTGCATATTCTGGAATTGTCAACTAAAGCCGTCTTGTTTAATAAATGCTATACGAGCTCCAAGATTATCTTTTTTTGTTAAGACGTTTTGTCAACTCGTGATTAGACAATGGAAGTGAGACAATTCCAGCTGTATGCCAGACAAGATTGGCTTTATTTACTAAAAACATAGTTTTGCATAAGTCTGAAAGTATTTGCCATCAAGAAAGTTGGCCTTCATTTATCGTGAGCCCTGGGTGTGAGCGGTGGAGCTGTGCTGGCAGGGAGGACGTTAGTCATCTCTACCGGTCTCCCGCATGCTGTCTCCTCATGGGAAAGCGTCACTTGACACAGTGGAGTCCTGCATTTGGAAGTTCTTTCCCAGGAGAAATAGACATAAATATTGAGAATTACTAATGGTAATGGATTGTCACTTGGCGCTTATAGCGAGGAGCAAGAATTCAGACATATGTGTTTATATAAATGATTTAAGCTAATACAAATAAATAGCATTTGATATACGCTGAGAACAGTTGCTCTTTTGCTCAGGTTGAGGGAAACCTATTATTCATGAATTCATGGCTGTGGATTTAGTCATCTTATCACTCGCCTAAAGCTCTGTATGTAGGAGGGTTTATAAATAATGTTCTTTTTCATTGGAAACTTTAGGCAGCCTTTTGCTCTTTAAATTGAGTAATCTTAGTAAAGTGGGATATTAAAATAGAAAGTTTCAACGTTTTTTTTAAAAAAAGAAAATTCATAAAGGCTCCTATTTCGGTTCTTTGTTTCTCTCTACAGGCTTGTGTCTCCAGAGCAGCCACCAAAGGCCAAGTTCCTGACCTTGGGGTCCAAATTCCGCTACAGCGGCCGCACCCAAGCCCAGACCCGTCAGGCAAGCACCCTCATTGACAGGCCCGCGCCACACTTTGAGCGTACCTCTAGCAAACGGGTCTCCAGGAGTCTAGATGGAGGTAAACACATTTATGATGGTTTAGATGCCTTTAATCTTTCTCTAATCTGGTGGAATCAGAAAGGGTTGATATATTATAGTTAATGAGGTCCTCAGAAACATCCTAGAGGGACAGCTATTTTTTTCTGCATAAATGAAATGGTGTTTCTTATACTCACAAGGAAAGTTTTATAGTGTTTTACAGCTGTCATTCTGAGCCTAAATTTTCTTTGTACTGTCATTGTATGCAAATATTGAGAATTCTCGTGGATAAGAGGTTGGACAGATATACTGTTACTGATCTGACTTAATTGTGATGTATTTTATGTGTCTTAATTTCTTGAACTTGTTAATTAATGGCAAAAGTGGAATTCCAAGGGTTTTGGTATGATAAGAACCTCTATTCAAAGGAACTTAAAATGTTCTAATTTTATGAGTTTAAAAACCCTTACTGAAGCTTACCAAACTTTCTGGCATATGAGAAACCATCCATAACTTCCAAAGATTAGTTGGAATGGAATGCTTTAACAAAAGGAAAGGAAATACAGTGTAATCACTAGTTCTTCAGCCAAGACGGGGGGTGGGGGTGGTGAGATATGTATAAATTTCGTATGTTATTTTATTAGAATTAGCTACATAATTGTAGTTTTATATATTTTATGTATGGAAATAAATTGATGTTCTTTCCCTTCATATATGTATATTATTTTGGGTTAATAGCAGGTTTTCTGTAAAGGACCCAAAGTTAATTTTATATTACAATGCTTTATAAGAGACTTCATTTTACTTTCTTCCTGGAAGAAAGTAATTGATGTGGATGACTTTCTCTCAGAAGTAGTTTTCCAACATTTTTTGGTTGATCTCAAAACATATACAAAAATAGTAATATTAAATTTAAAAATTTGTTTCACTACTATTGATCACTGAAAACCTTTCTTGGTTGCTCCTTATTACTGACATTTTTCTGAAATATGAACTAGAACAACTTCTAGTAGCTGAAACCGATATGCTAATAGATAAAAATGCACTCATATATATATATATACACATATATATGTACATATATATAAATAAAATTTGAGTTTTTGTGTATAGTTGATGTAACAGTGCTACATCAGCTTCACGTGTACAACAGTGATTCAGCTTCTGTGTAATGCTGTGTTCACCACACATGAAGCTACCATCCGTCACCACACAATACGATTACAGTATCATTGACTGTATTTTCTCTTCTGTATCTCTTATCACCATGACTTCTTCATTCTGTAACTGGAAGCCTGTATCTCCCATTGCCCTTTGCCCATTTTGCCCATCCCTGGCCCCATTTTTCTCTGCGACCATCAGTTCTCTGTGTTTATAGGTCTGATTCTAAAAATGCTCTCTCATTAATGAAAGATTGACACTTCTCAGCCTTGATCTATTTTTCCCAGAATAAATTTGGAAAACAGGTCCAGGCAGACACACAGATACATCCAGGGATTTGTTGGTGGGCATTTTGTATATATAGTGATTAAATCTTGATTCTGGAGAATCTCCCATTAATTTTGAGATGACAGGTACGCAAGGGGGTCATAAATTGTGGTTCAAATAAATGTCCACATTTCCAAAGGTAGTAATTTAAATTTAGTGAATTTTTAATGTACGATAGCTGTCAGTGTATCTTTCAGCTCATCAACAACTGAGCACTTTTTTCAAGTAAATGTGAAAAATGTGCCCACTCATGGAAATATTTGACAGGCCTTGCCCCTTACCACAGAGAATTTATTTAAGTGCTGTGTAACTGCAGTCAGTGTGGTTAATGCCCTGAGACAAGTCATTCCTGTTGCTGGAGTACTGTCTGTCTCAGCCTTTGTTTCAAACTGTGAGGCTTTATAACTCTTATATTGCAAATTCTAGACTTTAGAAAGAGCAGTAAACCACTGTGTTTTGACATAGATAAAACACTGCTCAAGGAAACCCACCATCTTGTGTGAGTGGTGAGTGCAGAGGGTTATAGTAGGTCTGTATCTGATAACAATGATTTTTACAAGTAAAAGCAACAAGCATAGCACAGTGATCCATTATTTTTCCTTTTGTGTTTTGGACACTGTAATTCATCAGATGGGCAAGTCATCAAAAGGATTATTGTGTTATTGTGAAAAATAAAGGCTTTTCGTGCCAATACATGACCAGACAGCCACTGAACTATTTGATTAGGGATTCCAGGCTTTTTCCCTCCCAAAGCAAAGTGAGGCTATAACCTGGTACTAAACTTTATTTTCACCACCACTCCCCATCAATATACCTTTTTGTTGTTGTTGCTGTTGATGGCATGTGTTGTATTTTCTTGCCCCTGTTTAGTTTTTAAGTTAGACCAGACTAATTTAGATTCATAAATATTCCTTCCTTTAAGCTTTGACAAATGAAAATAAATCTTCAGTGCTTGCATGCAACCTAAAAATGAATGTGCTATCTAAGATGAAGCATTAAAATAAAAATCAGTCTAGAACAGCTTTTTAAAAACAGTGGGATTCCAAGATTGGAAAATCAAACCAAAAAGGACACAAGGCAGTCATTTAAGAGAACAACCAAGATGCATTTGAGAGTGGGGGAGACAGTGATTTCCTGAAAATGGAGAATATAATAAGCAGGGACCTGAGATTGGGTCATGAGAGAAGGAAGGCCCATCTGGGGAAGAACCATTTTGGTTGAGACTTGAAGGATGAGGAGGAGCTAGTCATGAGTAGAGCAGGAAATAAAGCATTCCAGGTGGCAGGAGCAGCAGGTCTGAAGGTTCTAAGATGAGGGAGAGCTTGATACAGTCCAGGAACAGAATGAAGACTAGTTAGAGCTTTGTAATTGATGGGAAGAGGTAGCCTGGGGGCAGGTCATGCAAGGCCTTGCAGGCCATGAGGAAGAATGTGGTTTTTTTTTTTTTTAATTTTTTTTTTTTTATTTATTTGCGAGAGAGAGAATGAGAGACAGAGAGCATGAGAGGGAGGAGGGTCAGAGGGAGAAGCAGACTCCCCGCTGAGCAGGGAGCCCGATGCGGGACTCGATTCCAGGACTCCAGGATCATGACCTGAGCCGAAGGCAGTCGCTTAACCAACTGAGCCACCCAGGTGCCCCAAGAATGTGGTTTTTATTCTAGTGCTATTGAAGTGTGTGTGTTGCACACGTGTGCACACTTACACAAGCATGTAAGTGCATAGTATTACCTTTTTTAAAAAAATTACTCGGTGCAATGTTTGAGAATGATTGATAGGACAAGACAGGAAGCAGGTAGACTGGTTAAGAATACTCCAGGTGAGAGGAATGGGGATCTTGCGTTGGATGATTGTAGCCAGTTAGCCATTTGGCACCATAAGCTCAGGGCCTGGGGCCTACAGGCTTCTCAGGGTTCTACAAGTGCTTAAGACCTAAAAAAAAGTTATTTTTTTCAAAATGCAAAACAAACAGCCTGCCCCCCTGCACACTGAAATTAATAAGTGTGTAAAGGCATGCAAAATAAATATTTTGTCAACTTCATTATATAACTTTAAATTTGATATTCATTAACATTTTGATATCCTTATATCTAAAACCATTTCTAGGTCAGAGTTTTCCATTTTGCAATAATTTGAGTATGCGTAATGGGTGCTTAGAAATCATAATCATAAATTAAAAGAGTTACACATAGTCGTAGATTTTCCAAGGGAAAATTACTAACATCCTCTCAAAAGTTAAAAATCCTGGAAAATAATTGTACTTCATGGAAGATGTGAGTTCATTTTGTGATTTTGGCGTGGGTTTTCAAAAGTGGGAGTACTTAAGGACTGTCAAAGTCTTAAAATGGCCTGGGGTGGTAAAAATAGAGGAGGAAGAACTGGCCACATTTAGGTTCAGTTGGATTTGATGGTGTTGAGGGATGAAGGCCAGAGGCATCAAGGTTTCTGGCTTGGGTAACTGGTGTAAGTATGAGCGTGGTATGTGGTGGAAAAGGCAAGGCTGGGGAAGACGGAAGGTTTGGTCAGGGTACGTGAAGGGTGTGGGCCAAGAGCTTTCTTGTAATACACAGATTAGAGGTGCTTGATGCCTCCGCAGTTCAATATGGTGGATCACACACATCCCTGCCCTCCAGGAGCACACATCCCTGCCCTCCAGGAGCTTGCTGCCTAGAGGCCTTTGTGTTTACTGCGCTTCTGTGGGGGCATAGAACCAATGTCAGTCATCCTGTCAGTCAAGCACTTTTTATTCAGGTGAAATAACCTCAGTGATTGGGGGTTTGGGGGAGAAGCTACAGAGGGACAGAGGCTCTGTCGCTGCTTCTCATTTGCATTTGTTGAAATGTGACGCCGTCTTAGGTTGATCTGCCATATGACCGAAATTTCAACACAATATCCGTTCCTGTTCATCTGCAGGAGAGATGAAGGAAATACATGAGGGCCAGGTTTGCTGGGTCGGGAGGGTGTCTCTGTATTAGATTTACTGTAGGTCAAGTTGAGGCATTCAGAGGGGAGGTTAGAAAAATGAAAACTATTAAACAATTCTATAATGTCGACCTTGACTGTCTTGTCACAATTTTGAATGGTATTCAAATTAAAGGTTTCTTTATGGAAGAATCCTAAAGACTTATTGAAGCAAGTCATTTTAATCTCTAGATAATTATTTGTTGCAGTAAATAGATTCAGAAATAAGTTCAGGCACTATCAAAGAGACCCTAGAGAACTCAAATATTGCTCACGTTGGGATTCTGACATTATGCCCCATGTCTGTTTAAGCTGGTCTTAGAGCTCCTCCTACTGGCCAATTCCTTGATCAGACTCAAAACCTTCAAAAATCGGATTTGAGAGCCTGGTGTAGTTTAATGGGTTAAAATTTAGAATATATTTAGAATTTGGTAAAAGTTTAAAAATGGGTTTGATGTGTTCATATCTTCAGAGCTCAAGCAGTGTTCCTGCTAAATGTCTGCATGCTGCCTGTTTATCTTTGTAAGTTTGACCATTGAAATGTCTTGAAGTAATCCCAAGTGACCCTTCTTTCCTAGCTCCAGTTGGTGTTGTCGATCAAAGTCTTATGAAGGATTTTCCTGGTCCTGCTGGGGAGGTTTCAGCCTACGGCCCCGGAATTGTCAGCCCTGCCATGGTACAAGATGGGGATGGCAGAAGGGAGCTCAGAAGCCCAACTAAAGCCCCACATGTGCAATTCATTGAAGGAAAGGTATGGTAAATTAGAAGAAAATGTGATTTTAAATGTGTACTTAGACTACAGGCTGTTACATTTGTTGTTTCAGAACTCAGGCCTCATTTAAAATTAGTCAGTGTATGTTCTGTGTTGATATAAGTTCCCAATATGTAGGCTCCTACTGGTTTGAACAGGGTCTCTAATCTTTCTCTGATTGTTCAAAGCAAAATATTTCCATGTAAATTATATTAATGCAAACAAGTAGTTTAGTGGCCTAAAATTTTTGCCTGTCTGCAAAATCATCCTTTTTAGTTAAATCCCTATATTATAAGAGCTATGGTGACTTGAAATTTATATTTGTTACAAGTAAATTTTAAAGTATAGCCTCTCTTGAGTTTTTAATTATGTTGACTTGAATTTTTTTTTTTGAAATGAACAAAGATAGTCTTTATGAAAAATGTTATTTTTCACTAATCTCTGATGAAGAAGAAATCCTTAAGCAAAGGGTGGTTGTTTTGTGAATAGTGAATGAGAAGATGGTGTGTTGCTTATCTCCTTATTTGGGGCATACACCCCACTGAATGGAGAAGTAACTTATACTGTGTTTTCAAATTTGTCACTATTATATTATGATAGCTTTTTACCTTGGGCAAGTAAAGTCACTTGGAGGTGGATTTGAAGAGGCTTTGAGTTCATTGGATCTCTCTTCTTTATCTGCACAAAGCACCTTTTTTATAGATAACATTGGAAGTAAACACAAGAAGGAAATGAAATTCTGCTATAGATTTATAATGTTCTCTAAATTTTAACTTTTGAAAAATGTAAAGACCTGCAACATGAATTTATAAAGAACCTACTAGATGAAGGAGTTGCCAGTGGCTCAGGAATTCCTGCCCTGACAACCTGTCAGCATAGAGGAGGGCTCAGGGACCCTTACACCCCAAGGGCTCGGCCATCAAGTCCTCCGAATACCCTTGTTAAATAAATCTTTTATAATTATGCTAATGAGGCCCCCAGGAGGGTGGGGGGCTTACATCTGAAACATAGGAGCTCAGCCTCTCAGAGTCTCCCTACCATTTTGCCTAGTTAATTTGATGCATGCAGTTATTTTTAAAAAGTTAACCTTAAATTCCAAAGGAAATTCTGCTTATCTTTAGCAAATGACTAGGTGTGCTGGTCTTTCTGCTAAAGCTTTGAATGCTTGTCAGCAGCCGGGTTTAAAAGGAAGAATGTTATTTTAAGTTTCATTGGATCTATTTGCAAATAGTCAGAAAATTACGTGATAAAAGTAGTCCAGTTTTTCTCTTTAAAAGTGGATCATTTAATTCATGTTCTAACTGTGCTGTGTTAATAACAATCCCTACTTGCCAGTACAAGTTTTCACTAACTGCCCATTTCTTCTTCTCTTTCTCTCTTGCCTTTGTTTCTCCTTTGAATGTATCTGTTGTGCGATTTCACATTCAATCATGGGTTTGCTTCCGAGAGTAGCTTGTTTCCATGTGCCCACCTTCACCACTCATTCGCTATGTTTCATCTCTTTCCCCAAACCTTTTGCCAGTCCCTGAAGTGGACTTGCTTTCAGACATTTCGGAGGAAGACCCCTTTGGGGAGGCCGACCAGATCACGCTAGACAGCTTAGAGCTCCCTTCCACTGGTGAGCCGTCAGAGCTGGGGGACTGCCAAGTCCCCACCCTTGATTCTCTCTCGGGTCCTGTTGCAGCCCCTCCCCAGCCTGATGGTCCTCCCACCCAGGAGAAGCCTCTAAATGAGGCTGACCACAAGGATTCTGAATTTGGGTACTTTTCCTTCCGTTTCTGCAAATGCTTCCCACCTAGCTTCCCCTCCCTTCTTGATGAAGATGGGTATCTCGCTTTCCCCAGCCTCCCCAAGGTCTGGGTCTCCTTCCTCCCCACAGACGTCCAGCACTACCTTCCTATCACCTCCCCTTCATTCCTGCCTTCCCTCATCCTCATCTTCGGACTCCTTCTCTCTGCTTCTCAGTCAGTGCCTTTTTCTCTCACCTTTGCCCTTCCTCTGGCTCTATCCCTCTGCTATCTGGAGGCTAAAGCCGCCTCCTTCAACGTTTCTTATGACTGGGACTTGAATGACAAAACCGAGGAAGAGGAAGCAGCCGACACTCCTCCATAAGCTTTAATTTGTGGGCTCAACAAAACTACATATTCCTAATGTAGAGTGTAAACATGTGCATAAATTTCACCACGGATTACCCTCAAAATAGTAGGATCCGCACATTTTCGCATACATGGTGTTTTAGTGCATGAGAAATACATGTAAATAAGTACTTTCCCTTCATTGATTTCCATGGACCAGGTCCACACATTCGAAGTTGAGAGCAAAGTTATGGATTATTTTGTAAATACCTAGACCATACTAGGTCTTCAGAACAAAACAAAACAAAACAATAACAGGAAACCTGTGTTGCCCTTAACAATCCATATTGGCTCTGTTCGTTTTGCAGACAAGTATCAGTGCTATCGATGCTGTTCCTTTAGGATGGAAACTTGTTTCAATATAGAACTTAGGATGCAGTGGATATAACCGTAATTGATGTGTATTAGTAGAACTCCTTAGTATTATTATTTCTCATTAGAAAGCCAAGCTCGTTCTTGCAGTTATGAGGATGCATCTGTAACCTTTACTCAGAAATTCCTTGTCTCCCTGTTACTGTAACATTTGGGAACCAAATGAATTTCAGGTAGCTTTTTTTTTTTTTTTTAACTCTAAATCATGTAGTTTTAGGAAAGAGTCACTGTCAGGTATTTGTAAGGAAGATAATACTCTTATCTTTAAGAAATACATTTGGAAAAATGAAACATGGCTTTTTGAAAATTTAACACTATTCGCCCTAAGGTTGGGCTACTTAGTGTCCTTTTATTTAAGATTAGGTGTCCGGTTTGAGGATTTTTACCCCTGGATAGGGCCACCTCTGCACTACTAGGTTGGTGCTAACATGTGCAGGATGTTTTTGTTTTGCTACATATGGTCTGGTGACTTAGTGTCTCATATCCTGTGGGTACTGGCCATACATAAGGAAAAATCACAATTTAGAGCAAACATAAAGAAAAATGTAAAGACGATGCTATGATTAGGCATACTGGGAGAAACCACTATTCCTAAAGGTTACCTGAAGAATGCCGAAGATTGGCGTTTTAGAGAATTAAGTATTGACCAAGGAATTGGCACGTGATCCTTAATAGATTTGGATAGCTCTTATTTTCCGTTCTGATAAAAAGATACTCTGAGCTCCCTGCTCACCTCAAAAATACTTGGTTTAAAGAAAAAAAAAAGGCATTTTGAACTCTCAGATTTAACACTGTCATTCCAGTTAAAGAAGAAAAGGAATATGTATGATCCTGCTATAAATTAACATGTGAAGGTTACACTATTGTCCTTTGGTCTCAGAATCATTTTTCTTTCTTGTTCTTCCTTTCCTTGAGTCAGTAGTTATCAGGATTTATGCTTTTTTAAAAAATTTATTGAAGTATAATTGACATACAGTGTTACATTAGTTTCAGGTGTATAACATAACAATTCGACAATTCTGTAATCTATCACCATATGACGTTATTAGAATATTATTGACTATATTCCCTACACTGTGCTTTTCATCTCCATGAGTTAGTTTTAAATTTACAGGTTTTTTTTCTTTTGGGTCATTAGATACTGAGGATTATCCAACTATGAAAAACTATTCTTATTTAAAGAATTTTATGAAAGAAAAGTGGCTATAAAATATGAGTACTTTTAAATATAATTTTAACATGCAGGTAGCAAAATAAACCAATTTTCCTCCCAAGGAAAGAAATCTATGGTAAAAAACTGAATTAGAGGGTGAATATTTGTCCCTGGTGTAAAATTTGGTTTTCACTTCACATCATTCTACTTTGCCCTCGTCCTAGTTGATTTAGACCTTTCACATTAGGACAGATGGAATTATGCCGTTGTTACACTCTCCTATTTTCATTTCTGAGCAAAAACATTCAAAAACAGCACATAATCTAGGGACTGAGAAAGAGTGAAGCTTCCATTCTCCATTCCACCTTTGCAAAGGATTCCTTCCACCATTTGTGCAACACTGTAGGTGAAGAAAGACCAAAGTGGCTTTATGTTCGGCATCTTCTGAGGGCCAAACAGTAAAGGTTGGTAATTCTAGTTCACCATTTCAGTTCAAATACATCTTTGCACCCATGGGTAGAGTTTCTACTACTGCTCCCCTTCTTTCTGGCCATTTGCTGTATGACTTTCAGGTGAAAATGGAAGAAGAGGAGACACAGCTGGAGGAGGTGGATATTTATTCCCCCCCCCCCCAAATTAAATACCTGGTGACTGCTGCCTGCCATAACTATTGTGTGTGTGTGTGTGCGCGCGCACGTGCGCGTGGGTTCGGGGGTAATACACTTTCGGGGTTGATATGTGAGTTTTGCTTGTTATGGCTTCTAGGTTCTTAAGATTTTTATTCCTCTTGTATTTTAATGTCTTGGACTATCCAACTCGGGGTTGTTTCTGGTGCTTGCTGATTGATACACTTATGTTTATTTGCCTTTTCCCCCCTGTGTGTGATTTAATTTCACAGAAAAATTCCTTGAGAGTAGAAGGGGATAATATTTATGTCAGACATAGCAATTTAATGTTGGAGGTTTGTATACTTTAAGAAAACAACTCTGTCCTCATGGCTGCCAGGCTGCTGTGGACGGGAGGTCACGCGCAGGCTGGCTGGCCGGCAACTTCCCGCAAGCACATTGCATGAACTGCATGGGGGACAGTTCGACTTGGAGTGCATGTTAGCTGTCCGACTTTGTTCTTTTAAAGTGGCTTCGGTAGGAATAGATCTACTAGAAGTTCTCAAAGTGACAACTGGGAAAAAAAAAATTCTGTTCATCGAATGAGTAGAATTTTTATCTGTTACTCTTAAAGTTCTACAGGTAAATCTGTTCTCTCCTAAGGGGTCATCTCTGCGATATAGAATCTGAAGTAACATCCCATCCTTAATATATATTCACCCAGAATAGATATTTGTTGGTTTGGCATTAAATGGCTTTAGATCCGTGTTCACAATTATGGGGGAAAGTTGATTAAATCCATGCAATTAGGAATGTGGTTCACTTAAAGTAATTACCTTTGAGAAAATGTTGATTAATGGGATTGTTTGGATTAAAAAGAAAGTGAAGAAAGAAAGGAAAAAAAAACCTAACCAACCAATCAGGTGTGTAAAATATATTCCCCGTGTCACACGAGAACGTTTTTTGTTTGTTTTTGTTTTTCCCCTTCTTCTTTTATGGTAGTAAAATGGTGATGTATTCAGTGGAGAATTGCAATGCTCAGTAATCTGACTAATCTGGTTGCTTTTGGCAGCTTTGATAACTATTGGAAATGTATTTTGCGTAATTTACTAAAATGCTCTACAGTGTAATATGTAACCTTGCTTTGAACAAATGCAAGAAATGTGCCTGATCTCAAGCCACAGTCATTTTTCCATGCCATGCAAAGAGTTTTAGATTATCATGAGTTTTTGCAAATGGCTATAGAAGCTCCTAGAGGAGCAACTATGCTTGTGCATGAATGTGGAAGATCTAATTTTATCAGATGCATGACCTGTTCCTCTGGGAGTGGGATGAAAGCTATAATCCGCAGGTGGCCCCATGATTTTGAAATGTAAGAAAAGATTTAAAATTCACTTAAAAGTGTTTCCTGAACATTAATTACCTTTTATTCCCACAAAGACAGGGCCAATCTAAAAATTCCCACAGATACCATTTGTCAGGGCCTAGTCCAGTGAAAATTGACCTGATAGTTTTTCTTGTATCTTTGTCTTGTATAAGGACCATTTGGTATGTGGGGTGGCTGGGCCTCACAGTTGTGCTTGGCAAGTACACGAAACCAGTATACGAGGTTCCCTCTTTTACAGAGAGGCCAAACAGAAGGAGCCTCTGGAAGCCAGTATTTTTATTCCTTAAGGATTAAAAGCCATTGCTGGAATTTCCTGGAAAAAGTCAACCCTTGGTTTTCTTTCTCTCTCTCTCTCTCTCTCTCTCTCTCTCTGATGATCTTGGTCTGGCTTTCCCATCAGGCCAAATGTGCTTCTGAATACCTTTCTCTATTTTTACTTCATTTACTGTATTCACAGAATGCAGCTGTGGTAATAACCTGAATGAGAAAGGTAAATTTGCAGGAGCGAAGTCCTAGGCTGCATTTTAAATCCAGTTACTAGAAAGAAGGTGATTAGCCATTTCGAGTACTAGTGATCCCATGGCTTCCTTCGAATAATATAAGTAACTATTTCTTTAAAAAAATTCTAAGCAGAAGAAACCAGAACCTGTTAAAATGGGAATCATTAAAAAAATATATGCATTGGCTCTATTTTCAAATTTTGATGAACTACTTCTATTCATAGGTGATAACATGGCTTTTGAGACTTGGCATTTTTCTTGCTTTACTATGTTTTTTTTAATCATAAGTTTGCTTTGTCTTATTTTTTGGTTTTTTATTTTTGTCCTGCTGGGATATTTTTTTTTTTCCTTTTGGATTTCCGCCCTTTGTTACGTTACATATTGCTAGGACCTCGATAAGGCCCAGGAGGACATACTGAGACATCAGGCTAGCATTAGTGAACTCAAGCGCAATTTTATGGAATCCACACCTGAGCCGCGCCCTAATGAATGGGAAAAACGACGTATCACACCTCTGTCCCTACAGACACAAGGGGTATGTCAATAGCTGTTTGTTGGCTGTATGTCTCACTCCAGCTCTTCGGTAGAACTCAGGTTGCTAATCTATGATGTTGATTCTCAGAGGGTTAGACAACGTTCCCTTCTTTTTAATGTAATTGCTAACAATGTTTTAAATACTAAATATTAACAATGTAATACTTATTGACATAGTTCTTAATAAATTGTGTGAGTTTCAAAATATTTTCAAAACTTGCGGAATAATTTCACTATTTTACTCAAGTAAATGAGTAGTAATGAAATGTTCTATAGGGTGGCTTAGGAACTGATACTGTGTTGTATTTAATAAGGTTTTCAGTTATGGACTATTGAAATAATAAGAGTTTACTTGATAATTAATTAATAATTAAAGGGATATAGGAATATAGATCGTATTTAGAGTGGTTTAAGGTAATTACTGTGAGGATAAAGAGTTAACCTTAGCTTTGAAAACTAATGAGCCCTGTTGAAAATCTGCAGAATGTTATACAACTTAAAACTGAAACTTCTTAGTAATGAAATGTAGACTACTGTTTTAAAAGGATTTTCAACCATAACATCTCTCGAACTCATTCTTTTTCTTTCCATGGTTTATTTCTTCCCACTACCAATATAAGTGTTGCCTTTCGAGGATATTCTCAATCTATTTCTCCATTCATTCTCATCTGCATCTCTTCTGATGCTCCAAAATCTGTTATCAACCAAGAACTTTCATGGACTCATTTACCATACTTGAGATAATGATCATACTCTATTAAATGTGCTGTTTTAAAAAGCATATGAAGGTTTTACCCAACAATTTCGTGTTTCCCCTTTTCTTTACAGCCCTCTCTTCCCCTGAAGCTCATCATCTCTCTCATCTGGCTCGAATGTTACCAAATGTGTATGCACTTGTGTTAGTCGCATGCTATTTTTATTCACTTTTTCTGAAAAAGGCAAAGCTGTTAGTTGCTTTAAATTTGTAAGTTTGTGACAGTGAAAGGAGAATAGCTCTTTGAGAACAGACGCAAAAATAATCGCTGAACCGAGAAAACCACGGATGACAACATTAAGTTCGAAAACACCAGGGTCTTACAAAGTTGTATACAGCTTACATTCTTATTTTCAGATTTCCTGAAGATATTAATGCCCCTATGTCAGCAGTCAGCTCTAGAGGGTTGCGTTTTCTGGAGAAACCATGTATAATGACGTGCTAAGATCTTGTCCTCCCTTTATGTGCTGCTTTATCCGGTCCGTTCTGCTGACCCACACAGTTGTTTTATGTTTGTGTTGCTATAGATGTAATGTACTTGTCTTATTTGTTGATTATGTCTATTGTTTGAAACAATAGAGAAAAGGAGATCATCTTTTCAAGGATATTTTATCCGTGAAGGAGAAGCATCAGATGGCAGCAACACGGACAGTTGAAGGAAAAGTCCAGGAGACAGACAAGGTGTTCACCTTGCATTCTTGGATCTACTCTTGCTTTTCCCCTTTTCCTTTTATTTCTCTCCACAGCCATAAGATACTCCTTTTTTTCTTATGTAGTCACCTAAAATTTTGTTGAAATAATTTTTTGAGCATTTAAAAAATGAAATTTCCTTATAGAGAAACATAGGATCATTAGTGAGAAACACCATATTGCAGGAGGACTGTATTTGAAAATCCACAATTTGAAATGCAGACATGTCAACCAGTTTAGGTGATCAGTAACCCCACATTGTTGTGTATGTGGCTGACAGTTGGGAGACCATGATCTCGTGGGAAAATGCACCATTAGTACAACGCTTGTGTGCAGACTGTGGAGGTGTTACAAGCATGTGTGATGTAGGTAGCTATTTTTCTAACTACATTTGGAAACCTTGCGAACTTTCATTTTTAAGATTTTTAGTGGGAGAAAAGATCTAATGTGTGTCACAGTAGCCACTCAGGTCTCTGTGCTCCCCGCATATATGAAATATCTGATATTACTGGGGAAGTTAGCTTTCCATTGCTTTTACAGACCTCTTCTGTTTCTACTAATTTTGCTTAGCCAGCTGACTGGCCTGTCATTTGCTGGGACTAGAGTGCTTAGAGTCCAGTGGGGGAGATAGCAGACATGTTAGTTAGTAATTAGAAAATGTAGGGTACTAAGGAATAAGGGTTAAGAAGATGAAATATAGTGTCCTGTTAGAGGGTGATTGGGAAGGCGGCTTTCCCGTTGTGCGCAGGAAAGAGATGGCCTTGGAGGTGAGACCTTGACATGAAGAGGAGAGAGACATGTGAAGATTCTTCCATGTGTAAAGAAGAGGAAATGGAACAGCCCCAAGATAGGAACTAGTTCAAGGAACTGAAAGTCTAGATGACAAGGGCTTAGGAAAAGTCCAAGAGGTCAGAAGGTCCACTCTGGATCTTAAAGACCAGACTGACAGCTTGGAATTCTATCATAGGAGTGATGGGAAGCCATTGGACAGTTTTAAGCTGGGTAATGACCTAGTGCACATGTCAGACAGAGATCCCTCTGGTGCTGGATGAGGAATGTGTCCTAGGGGGGATGTGAATGAGAGCAGAAATCAGTGATAAGGAAAAAATGTATCCGTTCCGCAAAGTCTGGTCTTGTTAATCCATAGACAGTCACATTCATCAGAAGATACAGTGGGATGGGCGAGGAGGCAGGGTGACTGGAAGATGAAGCCTTGCCCTAAAGGAATTGGAGGTGTGGCTGAGATGAAATATTTCCAGAGGACCGCAAATGAGAAAGATAATGTTATAAAGCTAAACCAAGTGGCATATTTATATACTTTAAAGGTTAGCCTGAAATCCAAAGCCTGTCAGACTGTGTGTAAAATGACTTTAATATCATATGCTTTGAAATATTACATAATTTTGAAAATTTATCCTCCAGAAGCAAGACACGTGACAGCATTTGATCAATTTAAAATGATGTCTTTGTACTTTTTGCAATAGGAGATTGGGAATTTTGGTGAAGATGTTGAAAATTATCATTTTTCCAGGCTGTCATGGTTTAGAATCGTCCAACAGAAACCATATACAATAGAAATCATTCATTCACTCATTGTCGTAGAAGTTACATTAAGATCCTGTTATGTGGAATCTAAATCTGGAATTGACCTCCTGTAACGCTCCTGAATGGTTTCTCTATACTTGAAGTGGCTGCTTTTTTGTTGTTTTCCTCTCCAGCATCTGCAGGAAAATATATTCTTATTTGGCATTTATGTGGATTGTTGTAACTGCAGTCACGCCTCCGTTCACCCATTCACCCAACATTTATGGACCACTTACATGGTAACCCCCGTCTCCCTGCCAATAACCTTTCACTACTATTAGTTGAAAGTGTGTGAGCAGTTAAGTCTACCGGAGTGTTTGGCTTTTAACAGAATACCTTTAAAATTTGTCTTTGCCGCATCTTCATTTTGCTACTGATTTGTAGGGTTTCCTTAAATTTTAATCCTTAATGAATGTAAAATAAAAAGTTATGCATGAGAGTAGTCTAATTTGACCAAAGTTTCTAGATTTCTATAATACGGGTTTCATAGATAAAATAAAAACAGTAGTTCTTTTTTCTTTCTTTTTTTTCTTTTTCTTTTTTTAAGTAATCTTTACACCCAATGCGGGGCTCAAACTCACAACCCCAAGATCAAGAGTCCCATGCTCCTCCAACTGAGCCAACCTGGCTCCCCCAAACAGTAGTAGTTCTTGTTTAAATACCCTGAACTTTCAGAATGGCTTCAGTTTGAATATGATTTTGAGAGAAAATTGGAAACCAAATCATTTAGTAGAATACATTTACATTTAGTAAATAACTATTGTATATCCTCTTTTGTAAGCATTATGACATACTTGTATTCTCATGAGTCTAGTAGAGATTACATGGACTGTGGTTGTAAGGTACTTTTGAAGATGTTTTATTGAATAATTAAATGCATGGCACTTGAGCTCCCCAGTGCTCTTACCAGGAAGGACACTCTTTCCACCCACCCGGCCCGGAGGGATGGTGTAATTATGGAGATTATAATTAAGCTGAATTAACCCAGAAGATGTTTTTTTCTCTCCTGAATATTGCAAGTGCTTCTGCACCTCACCCATCTCCTCTCATTGTCCCTACTCCTCACTCCCCCCTCAGTGCCCTGTTGCAAGGGGCATCTCGGAAATGCCATTTATTTATTCATTCATCCTTAAGCTCTCTGAACACTAGGGTTTTTTAGGAAGTATTCTTACACAATTTTGACATTCGCTTTATGGCGACTTTTTGCTGTTGGCATTACAGGTACCTGGGACAGTCCCTGGCTTTCCCGTTGTGCCCTCAGGTGGGTTAGGGACTGTTGTTTCAGGGCCAGAAATGGCAACATGAACTTTGCCTTCATGGTTTCTCAGGGACAGATGGTTTTCACATTGCTCACTTGAGTTTTCACCTCTGAGTTTGTCTTCCTACTGAGAATTGTTTTCTCTACCTGTCTCTTCATCCTGTGGCCTATTTAGCATGTCTGAGGGAATGTCTGTGGGTTGCTGTCAGAGCGCTGATCGTAAAGACCATTCAAGTGGTATGGAGAAGGGAGGAGGCTAGAGGAGCTGGAATGGATAGGGAGGCCCGTTACAACATAGGGACTGTTAAGTGGACCTCAGAGAGGTGACAAAATTGGCAAGGCCCAGTGTGCCCCGGGAAGGGCATTGGAGGCAGGAGGGTGGGGTCACTCAAGCTCTTACACAGGAACAAGCGTGGCCAAGAGTAGGGGCCCCTGAAGAGACCATTCTGGGCAGAAAGAGGCTGAAGCCGAGCAGCCCCTTCAGGAATATATGAAATAATGTTCAGTGTGTGGGTAGATCAGTTGTGCTCAGTTTGTAAATAAAGCTTCAGGGATAAACTAAGGCTTTTTTTTTTTTTTTTTAAGCTAGTTCCCGGAGGTGAGAGCTCTCAGATTCTCAAGCAGAGTGGAAAGCTAGCATTTAGGCAAAACGCCACAGACGCCTGCTAGAATCTTTCCAACTCCTCGCCTATCTCTCAGTTTATGCTGTTCTGTGATTCTCTCTTGTGTAACCTTTCCTTTCCTTTCAGCAGGTCACTGCTGTCTGTTCTGACTCCTTGTTAATTCTTTGCTCTTCCTTTTCTGACTTCTCCAGAGCCTAGAAGAGGAAATAACGTCCATTTTGTTGAGTGAAAAGGGCTTTGCTGATAGCTTGCGAGCCCCCTTCATCTCAGCCACCACTCGGACAGCAGAGGGCGCTGTTGTGAACTGTAGCGCGCCTCCCGAAACGCTTTCTTCCTCGCCCTTCTCACGCTTGCCTGAGGTGCATTTTACTTTGTTTCCCCTGTTTTCAAACGCCACATACGATTTTTTTTTCCCCGAATATTTAGGAACCCCTCTCTCCAGTGCTTTCATTGGTTAAAATTAAGTCTTCCTGGGAGAAACATTCAAGAAACAATGACTGAATTTGGACATGAGGGAAAACCACAGATTGGATGTTTCTCCTGCCGCTTTTGGTCCCCTGTCGGCCCACAAAATCTGCCTAAATTCAGAGACTCATCTAAAGCAGTAAGGCCCAGAGTCTGAGTTGTTGTGGGAAAGGAAGCCCTCACTCTAAGGGAAGCGAAGTGTGTTTGGCAGAAAAGTTTTTAAAGTCGAAACACCTTTCAGGCCTCTCCTGATGGCTGCTTATTTTTAAAATTCTATTCATGTGTAAAAATACAAAGTGCCTGCCATGCCCAGTGAAATAATTATTTTCATTTCTTGGACTGACCCTTAGGGATTCCCTGAACTTGGGCAGAGCCCATCTGGCCATTTGGGGTTAAGTAATAATAATTTACTGACCTGGAATAATAATGATGGGATGTCTGCTTTAGAACTGTTCTGACCACTGGATATCTTTATTTATAAAGAAGTTTATAGTTAAGTGTTACTCATCAAAAAAGTTTCAGAGTTTTCCAGTTTAATATCTGAAACCTCTGGGTTTTCAGTAAAAACTGGAAGGATCTTTCTCTTGTACTGATGTACACGCTACTGATTTCGAGCCGTGAAAACGTGGCCTTACCACGCATCTAAGAATCACAGCACAGATCCGAGAGAGAGAGTACATGTTGACGGGTGCTGTCAGAAGTGTGCCCTTTTAGGGCCTTTTGCTCACGGTGGCCCACGTCACAGGTGCAGATAAATGGGGGATGCTGCTGTCTGATCCAGGACCCAGCTCCTGTCCATGCAGTCTTGGCAGCTCCGCCGCAGGCTTCGTTTCTGGCCGCAGGGTTCAGAGGCACACTGCCCCGCTCCGTGCGGCATGGAGATACCTTCTTGAAGAAGTAGGGCTACTACCGCTAGCAGGACTATTTCCCAGTGAGATCACAGGCTCTAATGTCACCCGAATATTAAAAAGTTAGCGAGGCTTCATTTTTATCAGTTTAAATAGCCCCTCCCCTCCTTTCAAAACAAGTTTAAGGAAAAGTGTAAGCTTTCAAAACTCCTTTGCAAGAAAGTTTCTACACTGGTTATCAATAACAAAGCATAATTATTTATATTACTAATGTATTTAGTCAACAGGTATTTATTAAACATTTAGGTAGTTTACTACTTAGAGTGAATTTACTCCCAAGAAGTAGATGTCTGCGGGGAGGGGGGCAGGAATAAACATCTCGGATAATAAACTTGGTTCATTTCAGTTTCCAAAGATACTAGTTGGAGGAGCTAAATTCTAGAAGAAGGCACTTGGAGCTATCATTGATATCCACCCTAATGTTAAAATATCCCTTTTGCCAATCTATAATATAGTTTGGGAGGTTAATAACTATTTCCGAAACATTTTTGTATTAATAGCTATCTGAGACCAAGTATAATTTTGCCAATTGCAGCTGTTTTTTTTTAAATGAGCCAGCAGAAAATAAAGGTGCCATCTCATTAAGGCTGTATTCACTTAGGAATCAGAGTTTCAGGCCAGGCTTTATAGTCTGCTTAAAATCAAAACCGTTTATTGAATAGGTTTTTAAAAGTTTTGCAATTTCAACTTTAATCAGGCAGCTTTGGTATAATTCCATTTTTTTTTCCTCCCCTTTCAACTAAATAAGGAGAGCTGATGGGTATAACTACAATAAGAGCATTTTATGTCTTTGGGAGGATGCTGGCTCTTTTGTGTTTTTGTTTCCTTTCGTAAGCTTTTCGCATTTTTGTCTGGATTGTCCTCCATGTGACCTTGAGCAAAGATTTTTGTGGATGTGGATTCTTGCTGTTCTGTCTTTGCAGTGTCAGATGTTTGTTTTGGTGGGTGTTGAGGTGTAAAACTGTATTGATTTGTGTCCTCGGTTGCTTTTTGTTTCGCAGAAACGCGCTCCTGAGTCCGAAGGGCCTTGCACCGGAGCCAGTGATGCTGTTAAGGTTCTCCCCTTTTCCATGTTAACGCCATCGCCTGATGTTTCTGACCCCCTCACGTTCTCCCCGCTTCCCTTTCAGTCAGCCATCATAATCATCTGTGTTTTTCTCCATGACATGAACCTACCATCATTGGTTAACTTTGGTTTCCATCGGTTTTGTTTTTGTTTTGTTTTGTTTTTTATTTATTCATGTATTTTTGTTCTCCCTCATCCATTTCTTTTTTGTGCAGAGTTCACATGAGACTCTGAATGTAGTGGAGGAGAAGAAACAGGCAGAGGTTGGGAAAGACGAAAGAGTAATCACGGAAGAAATGAACGGTAAAGAGCTATCACCTGGGAGTGGTCCTGGGGAGATGCGTAAGGTGGAGCCTCTGACCCAGAAAGACTCCACCTCCCTGTCTTCTGAGAGCAGCCACGGCAGCGAGAGCGAGGAGGAAGACGGGGGCGAGTACCGGCCCCACCACCGTGTGACCGCGGGCACCATACGGGAAGAACGGGAGGAGGAGGACGAAGAGGTGGAGGAAGAAGCCGGCCGAGCAGCCCAGGTAGTAGAGAGGGAGGAACCGGTACCAGAAGCCAGCCCAGTCAGACAAGCAGGTGCCAGTGTAAGCGCAGTAGAAACAGTGATCCGGGAGAATGTAGGTGCCCCACAGATACCTGCAGAGAAGAGTGTAAACGAAGGCGCTGTTAAGCAAGACATGAGCGAAGAAACAGAGGACGAGCAACACACAGTTAACGGAGAGGTGTCTCATGTTGACATTGATGTTTTGCCACAAATTATTTGTTGTTCAGAGGTAAATGGGAGACCCGAGCGGGAGCTAAACTCTAGAGCTGTTTCTCAGGTGGAGAACACCTGCCTTCCTTCTCCTGTCCTCCCGATCCTCCTCCAGCTTTTTCTACGAGATTCTGGTCTTTGTCTCTCCTGGGAGGAAGGGGAAAAGCACTGCTCTCTAGATTCTCTGCCAGCTCTGTTCACGGTTTCTGGCTTCTTTACTGCACCTGGATCCACCTGACAGAGTAAACTTGCCTTCAGCAGCCACACCATTTTTTTTTCCCCCCTTCTCGTTTCACACTTAAAGTTTTCTTTGCACGTTTTGGATGTTTTCAACTGTTTGTCTTTAGTTGCACTGCTTCCTTGTGCTAAAAGCCTTTTTCGTTGGCTTAATGAGAAAAATTGTATCTGTATTTTTGACAAACGGTCAATGTGAGCGTGTGCGTGTGGCCGTTACCATGATTGGGCTTGACTTTTTGGCTGATTTTCCCTTCAGCTTTAGATGTTTAGAGGTGGCAGCTGGTTCTGATTACCGTGGTGCTCGGAGTCCCGCATCCGGCAGTAATGAAAACATATTTCTCGAATACCACTGTGATTGCTGTTTTTAGATTCCAGAGAGCGTACAGATTGCTTTAAGAGCATTTTCTTTTCTTGTGCGCGGCCAGAGGCTAGCCTGTTTGATAGGAGGACACTCTTCTCATTCTGTCCTCCCTCAATTCTGGATGATTTGCAAGTTGATCATCTGTTTTGTGGATTATCTACATTGGATAGGAGTCTTTAACTTTTTCTCTTCAAGAAAGAGAACTCTCCACACTCCTGGTAAATTAAGTCTCGGTCATGAGGTGTGGGTGTCTCTGAATTAGGAGTCATGAGACTTTCTTGATTCTAAAATTAAATGCCCACGATGTAGGCTCTCTTTGATGGGCTGGAAAATCTTGAAGTGACTTTGTCTTGAAATAATTAAATGGATTTTTGCTATATTTTAAACTTCCTGCTTCACTTCAGAGAAGACATTTCAAGAGTCTTTGAACGCTCTGAACTCTTATTTTCTGCGTTTAACATATGGTTGTTCCTCTTTAAATAATTACACTTGGGAATTTTCTCTCAAAGTACTGTAGTATTTTGGTAGTAGTATGGTCTGGTGTTGTAATAAACCTACACGCTCAGCAGACTACCAAGCTAACAGGCCGTGACCCTGTTGTTTAATGTTTTCATTGTTCGAGGCCTTAATGCAATGTTGGTGGAATAACTCTAGATGTAATATTTTAACTTATATAACACAAAAGAAGCACTGCAAGTTTTAGACAATTATAATTGAAAAGATCATACTTGAAGATATTCTTAGAGTAGAATCTCTTTGTCGGTAGGGTAGAAGAGACTTTTTGGGGAAGAGCTTAGTCTCCCTACCTGATGTGCCAATTAAAGACAATGAGCCTTCACACAAACCACGTGGTTCTTTAAACTGCAGTAAAAATTGAGACAGGTCACTTCACATAGTTCATTCTGTTTTGTTTTCTTTTCCATTTTGTTACAGCTTGCCCCAAAGCTAAAGTTTATATATCACTGTGCACACCACGTCTGACATGTAATTGGGACCATGGTAATTTGAAGTGTACCATAATTTAGGGAGCCATTATGTTAGCTTATTCTTCATACATATATATGTGTGTCTGTGTGTGTGTATGCATACATATACACACATACATATATATGGTATTTGAAGGAAAGCATTTCTCTTTTGTGTCTTTTATTTACCTTTACTCTTGTGCATGAGTGTGTGTTTGGATATATTTTTTGCAGTTATTTTTGAAGGCTCCATTAAACACTTTTACTTCATGACCTCTAGAATTTATTTTTCCCTTCCTTTCCACCTCAGCCACCAGTGGTAAAAACAGAGATGGTAACAATTTCTGATGCCTCACAAAGGACAGAAATCTCCACCAAGGAAGTCCCTATTGTTCAAACTGAGACCAAAACCATCACATATGAGTCTCCACAGGTACAAAAACTCTAGATTTGGACTACTTGAGTTCTTTTTTACTTTGTGTCTGTTTTTATTTGTCTTCTAGTTTACGTGTTTCTGATCTTGATGTAGCCTTCCGTATCTCGGTGTCATAATCGCAATCGAACCTGCTGTATTTCTTAGATTACGACAGAGCTGCAGTCAAATTGGTGGCCCAGCAATTCGGGGGGGGCGGGTGGGGGAGAGGGCATACACAGGATTATTTAGGACAGGCAGTAGCAGTCTTGTCCATGTTATAAGTTGTTCATGTATATCTCTCTGTCCGTGTTGATATACACTTGGGAATCAGGTCGCTTAACAAAGTTTATTGGGGGGCGCCTGGGTGGCTCAGTTGGTTAAGCGACTGCCTTCGGCTCAGGTCATGATCCTGGAGTCCCTGGATCGAGTCCCACATCGGGCTCCC